TCAATCTTGTACCTCCGTACATGAAGCGGGTTTAAATGTCAAGGTAAATCATCAAGTTCATGTTCAAGTTCATTTATTCTCTCAAAACCATTTAAAATACACGGTACATGAGGACGATGAAAAATATTTACAGCATAAATATATTCAGGTCAGAGGTATAAGTATATGATATACATAATCAGAAAAATGGTTATGTGAGAGAAAAAAAAAATAGAAAAAACACTATGATTCATGTATAAAATGAAATAAATGAGGGGAAAAATTATGGAGGACAGACAAAATCATATATTTTTAATAGAAACATACCGAGTTTTTTTGAGTGACATAGTCAACTGTACAAGCCAGTGCTTCTCGCAAAAGTTCATAGTATAATCATCTTCAAAATATTCGTATTTCAAATAAACAAAATTCGATTCATTTCTTGGGCTAACTTCGTCATTTTTAGCATTAAATAGTGCCGTATGATTGTTGTTTATTTGTTCATTGTGATTCGGACCCCTTGAAATGAATTTTAAAGGAAATTAGTCTAATTACATTTTATGTAAACATTTTGTTATGATGCATACAAATTTATTCTTTTAAAAACTGCGTTGAACATTCAAATAATCAAATAAAAAAAATTAATCGGATTCGGTGTTTTGATGAATAAGAATACTTTTATATATTGACGAATAAGAATACTTTTATATAGAGCAATTCTTTCATAATCAACATTCCATGTTTGAATTCCTTATGTTTCAACATCTTCCACTGGTATGGAGATATTTTTTTCATAAAACTTCCTCAGTTACAGTACATTTTTACATATTGATGTTTGAACTTTAAGTCAATCCTGGTGCCTGTTTTACAATAGAACTTACGACTAAAACCAAAATTGTATTATTTTGATTATTTTCTAAGTTACATTAAATTGAAAATAGTTTAATTATTTTAAAAAGAAAAGCACATGAAGGTACATGTATTTTTTCGCTGGCAATTTTTTAAATAGAATAATTTTGATTTTTTTTCAATTAACCAAAGTTTTTGGTCTTTGTAGTTAGTTCCTAAGTAAAACGGGATTTTTGTCAGTGTGCAATACAGTGCCTATAGGGTGTTTTAAAAAAAATTGTATAATTATATTTTTTTTAAATAATGAATAACCTTAAACTAATGCTTTCATTACAAAACTGAGGTTGTGTTTCACATTGATTCAAACATACTCATGAACAAAGCATACTTTTGATATTCCTACAACAACAGGCTAATTGCTTCTTTTAATAACACATGATTGCTAAAAGTTCAGTGTATTTGCTTTAATACATAGATTTAAAAGAATAAAAAAAAAATATTTCTCTTCACTAGGTTAATTTTACTAGTGAGATGTTTGTTTTTTTTTCTTGACAGTTTATGTAGCTACAGTTGTGAATGAAAAGCAGAGATGAGAAAAAAACAATATAGAGGAGTAATACTAGGTTTATCTCCGTGTCTCCTTCTCTTTGCATATTACAAAATATGGTATTACCCAAAAGTAACTTTCAATGTTCAAGAAAGTAATGCAATTAACATGATGAAACAAGTGTGGACCGAATTGAACGCTAAAACAACAGATGAAGACAAATCTAGGTACAATATTATGTTTTATAACAAACCTTCGTGGATGAAAATGGAATACAGAACTTTGAATTCCGCTACTTGTCCACAATTAAAACATGAATGTTTTGTGTACACTGAAAACATGTACTATGATACTTCAAAGAGCATTATTTTCTTTGGAGAGCATCTACCTGCAGAAGTACCGACAAAGAAAGAAGGACATATTTGGTCATTCTTTTCAATCGAGTCTCCATTTCTGTATTCTGTACCTCAACAATGGAAGGATAAATTCAATTGGACAATGACATACCGAAGGGATTCGGATATCACTGTTTTTTATGGAAAAGTTGGTAAAAGACAAATTCCTCTAAAACGAAATTACTCAGAAATATTTCGAAAAAAGAAAAAGACCGTTGCCTGGCCAGTTAGTCATTGTAAAACGCCTTCAAAACGGGAAGACTACATACAAAAGCTTCAGGAATATATTGATGTTGATATCTATGGAAAATGTGGAAAACTAAAATGTGGTGGACCAACAGGCCTAATAACAGAGTGCCACATGAAGTTTGCGGAGGAATACAAGTTCTTCCTGGCGATTGAGAACTCAATATGCAAAGATTACACATCGGAAAAATTATTCAACTTTTTCTTTCATAATCTTACCATGATACCTATCATCAGTGGACCTCAAAACGTTCTCGAATATATTCCCAAAGGAACATTTATTAACATATTGGATTATTCTTCGCCTTCAGAATTAGCGAAGGAACTCCACCGGATTGGGTCAAACGAAACACTTTATTCTCAGTATCTACAAGAGAGAGACAAGTATCGAGGCATCAGATTTAATTGGGGAAAAGCTTTATGTTTAATGTGTGCAAGAATACACGAAAAGAAACATTATCCGCCAATTCCTGATATTCGTTCTTGGATATGGAATAATACCTGTATCAGACCACAGTGACTATCCCTCATCACTACATACAATACATTGCTCTGCCAATAAAACGGTCTCATTAAGAATAAGGTTCATTTAGAACTTCATTGGCACTGTAAATTTCTGAAACTGAAATTACATAGTTTTAGTTAAAAATTCATTAAATATCATTTGTGAATGCAAATTCATTTGAAAGAAAGAATTTTCTGGTTAGCTAGTGCATTGTGACGTCACGAATTGCGTCAATTTTCAATATCATGAAAAACTACAAAAACGGGCGGATTTATTATTATTATTTTAATTCAATATTTCATATAGAGCACAGCCTCTAATCTAAGGTATGCACTTTTGTAATGATAGAACTGTTCATACGGATCGCAAAATATGTTTCAGTTTTAGTCGATATCAATGAGTGGGCTCATAGTCTTTTCTTTGCTAAAATTACTCGTTTTCTTTAAAATTCAGGAACATTGCAATTTCATAAAGTTGCGTTTCAATACCTGAACTTTCAGGAAATGTTCAAAATAGAAAATGAAAGGTTTAAGTCTCTACTGTACTTTGATGTTGGAAACGAAACATGGCGTGTTAGTCAGTAAATTGTTATGACGTCGCGCACGATGTTGGTGTTAATTTCGGTAACGTCAAAAACGTCAAAAAATGCCACGTTTACGCCGTTTTCGTTCATAACGTAATCAATAATATTTAATAAATCATTCACAACGTAATGATACTGTCATACATTTCGTTAAGCACAACATATACATAAATTCAAACTTTTAATTGGTTTTTGTTACATGTAATATATTTTGTTTTTTGTTTTTTTTTTATTTAAATATATATTACCTCATCATGCACAACAAATCTGAAGGTCACAACATTGAAATGTTTAAATTATAGTTCACTACTGCAATGTCAGTGTTCAAACGCACGCGATTCGATCACGGCCTGCAATATTGTTAAGTGAATTTCCTCTGTAATATGTAACTCGTCATTATCAGGGAGAGCATCTGATTCATTTATGATATATAGAACTGATTGGGTTGGTACAATTGCCGGTTTGCGTTTGATTAATTTGTATTTCAATGGAGTATCTTTTGACTGTTCAAAATAATGACCTCGGATAACTTGTGCTCCTTTGCCGTAAGAAGCTCCCCACCTGTCCGTGTCTTCTTTTTGTAGGAGAACTGATTTTGCACTTGCTTTCAGTATATAGGTATCACACCGGTAATTATTTTCACTATATGTTTCTATATAGGAAAAAAATTCTTTAAAAATCAGGAAAAATTATTCATGAAAAAATACTTAGCAGAAATTGTTAAACATTACCTCTCTCATTGGCCGAGTCCAAAAAACAGGGTACCCACACGGCATTTTCTGACTTTTTCCATCTGCAAACAGGGTTACCCTCAAATCCACGTGTTTTCAGCATGTTTATAAACAAGTCCGATGCACCCCAGGAAGTAGCCTCCTATGTCCTGAAAAAAATAGTTCCTGTCAAAAAACTTTTTTTATTTACAAAGTACATTAAATTTACTAGGCACAGGTACCAAAAATGTAAAATTAGCAAAAAAGAAAATTAGAAAAACCATCAAAAGAAAGAAAAAATTATTTTATATGTATGGACCTACATTTGACTAAGTTCATTTTGATTGGTCAATTACCGGTGTGATACCTTGAAGACAACTTTATTATCTTCAATTGCTCTCTAATTAGCACAGCAGGTGCCCTAATTAGTAATCAACAAAATGTCCGAAGCAGACAGTTATAGGGCTGAGAGAGCCGGAGAAATGGAGGATTTAATCCCCCTTGGGATTATCATGATTACTGACCAATTTCATGGTGAAATATGAGTTACAAGTGATGAGTTTCAAATCGTCATAACTTTGCTTTAAAACATGATATATATACAAGATTGGTATCATTAGATAGGGGAATAGCTAATTGTTCTTTTTTTATCATTTGTTTCATTTTGATTAATTGGTTAAAAATTTTGAATTGTTAATTAATGAAAAATTTAGGGTAGAGAAATCTTAACTTTTATGAAAAAATTCAATTTTTAAAATTATAATGGAATCTGTATCTGGTCAATTGGGTATCAAAATTTAGCTCATTAATTACTCTGCAGAGATTAACAAGACATTGGGCTCCTTTGTGTTTGGTGATTAAGATAATGGTCTCTTTATCGGACTGGGGTTGTGTTCATTTCTGCTGTCTTCAAAGAAGAGGGGGGTCTCTTAAAAAGATCAAAAACTGGTTAAAACAAATAAATAAAACTAAGGCCTAAAGTGAGTATATTGAAGTGAAAAATATTCACAAAATCATACTGCAATTTACTGAGTAGCTGTTCAATATAAGATAATATGGGGAAAGAAAGACTAAAATATTTGTCCAAATTTCAGTTCAAAAAAGGAAGTACACCACATAACAAAGGATCCAAGTGTCAAAAAAATGGGATTAAAAGAGCAGAAAAGCCTCTACCAGTTAGACTAAACAATGACAAGTTTGCACAGATGGTGACATTCACTAACAATGACCAGACCATGCAAATTTGTGATGCACAAGGAAAGGACAGTGGTATGATGATTTTAAGACCAAGAGGTAGAGAGGTACAAGCTATTGACAGTTATACTGATGAAGTACCAGGAAGTCCAGAATGTGAAACTTACAGACTTTTACACAATAAGAAGACATCTGAGCTGTGGAATTTTGCTTTTAGAGACCACAAAGAAAAACAACCAACCTGTAAGGGTTCTCTGGACTGGGACTACTCTCGAGAGCAGAAGCGGGGTCTTGTATGGATTTCCTCTCTGCAGTGCTCCACCTGTGGCTACCAAAGTCACCATCAGAAGTTATACGAGGAAGTAACATCTACCCGACCAGGAAGGAGGGCTGCTCGGCTGAATGTAGCCATGTCCCTTGGGCGTATGGGTACCAGTCTGACTACCGAGGGGATGCGAGGAATGCTTCTGACAGCCAATATCCACCCAGCGTCAGCAAGCTCTATGCAGGACACTGCGAATAAAGTGGGGGAAAAAATTAGTTCTGTTAACCGAAGGAGTATGACCGATATAAGAAAATCTTTGAAAGAAAAAAACTCTGAATGTGGACTTCCTGTTAATTCATCTATTCGCGCGGAGGGGGATGCCAGATACAACAACTCTACATTTAGTGCACTGGGGAAAACACCATTCCAAGCAGGTACACAAGTGACTTATACTATGTGTGAAAATGTTACTAGTGAGAAAAAAATTATTTCAGTGTTTTGTGGAAATAAGTTATGCAAGAAGGGTGAATATCTGAGGGGGAAAGGCGAACAAGTTACCTGTCCCGGGCACACAGGATGCACTGCCAATCTTACACAACAGACAAACATTGGTAATGAAAAACAGTGGGCAGCTGAATGTATAGAAGAACTGAACAAGGATGAAGACCCTCTTACCATATCACACCTAACAACAGACGGAGACAGTGCGGCATCCCAGGGAGCATCCATAAAGCAGGGAAAAAACATCGAAAACCTGAAGGACCTGAGGCACTTCTTCGAGTCCCAGAGGAAGGAAACCAGCAAAGCCCCCTTCGGTGAGCGCATGTTTCCAGGCCGTACCAAAGCAGACAGAGAATCAGCTAAGAAACGATTCGCCCAGGACCTAAAAACCAGATGTCGATCAGAATATGAAAAAGCTCACAAGTATTTTGGTGGGGATATGCAAAAACTTACCAATGCCCTGTCCTATGCTGTTGATGCCATCATATCGTGCTATCGAGGTGAGTGTGGTAAACCATGCCAGAGACATTCTTTCGCTTGTCGTGGTCTAAAAAGAAATCATTGGACTTCATCGGTGTTGCCAAAGGACTTTAAAATCAAAATGTCTGACAGTGATGAACAATTACTAAGAGACTGTATCAATTTGACATTAGGGCGAAAAAGTTTATCTAGAATTAAATTTCACACTACAACTCAAAAATGTGAATCTGTAAATAGGGCATATCTCAGATCAAATTCTAAGTGTATAACTTACAGTAGGAATTTTGAACCAAGAATTCATAGAGTTATTCATACTTTAAATAAGGGATGTGGCAATTCCACTGTAGAACTGTGTAAGGCTGTAGGGGCACCTGTTGTCAAGGGAAGTAAAGTAGCACATCTTCTGAAACAGCAACAAAATAGACAGAATTATTTTAGGCAGAGAGAAAGATCAATTTTGTACAAATGTAGAAGAAAATTTTACAAAAAACAAAGGTTTCAATTGTATGATGATAGGAAAGAAAAAAATTATTGTAAATCTCTCACAGATCCAAAATTACCAAAGAAATCTAAGAAACATGTAGATCATAGTTATCAAAGAAATTAAGTTAAAAAAAAAAGTGTGTTGTATTTTGTGATTTACCTGTATACTTTTTAAAATATACAATCAGGGTATGGACCATGTCCTAAGCAATTTTTGGGGTATAAAAGTTTATATCTTTGTCTATTGTTATTTATTCGCTGTGGCTCATATGACAGGTGCTCTATTTTTATGCAATGTGTATTATGACAAAGGTGTGAAATGTGCATATTTCTTTGTAAAATGTTAAAATTTTGTGTATTGACTATGTAGGAAAGTCTATGTACATATACTCTTGTTTTCCTCGCAGCCCCGGGCATTAAAACTGTTGTTTGTATGTATTTACATGCAGTATTGTTGTGATTGAAGATGCGGCATTGTGTATTATGTAATATTTGAGAATTCTGTAATAAAAATCGTTTTTGTTCCTCAAACCATGTGTTCTCAGTCACAGCAGCCATATTGAGAGGATAGAAAGGAAGAAAGTTCCAGAAAACAGGAAATAGTGAAATTTATAATTTCCTTCAAGGTATCACACCGGTAATTATTTTCACTATATGTTTCTATATAGGAAAAAAATTCTTTAAAAATCAGGAAAAATTATTCATGAAAAAATACTTAGCAGAAATTGTTAAACATTACCTCTCTCATTGGCCGAGTCCAAAAAACAGGGTACCCACACGGCATTTTCTGACTTTTTCCATCTGCAAACAGGGTTACCCTCAAATCCACGTGTTTTCAGCATGTTTATAAACAAGTCCGATGCACCCCAGGAAGTAGCCTCCTATGTCCTGAAAAAAATAGTTCCTGTCAAAAAACTTTTTTTATTTACAAAGTACATTAAATTTGCTAGGCACAGGTACCAAAAATGTAAAATTAGCAAAAAAGAAAATTAGAAAAACCATCAAAAGAAAGAAAAAATTATTTTATATGTATGGACCTACATTTGACTAAGTTCATTTTGATTGGTCAATTACCGGTGTGATACCTATAATAATCATTTATTTCATCGTCACTGAGTACAGCAAATATGCTGCCTTTTGTAATTATATCAGACAGTATTTGAAATTCATTCTTCTCGTTTTCTGTGTCTGATGTATTGCTATCTGAGTCTTCCTCCGTGAAAGTTATAGGGGTAAATTGACCTAAATTGTTGATAAGATTGCAATTTTGCTCAAAATCACCGTCAAGGCAATTTTCGCAGGTGTAACAGGACAGTGGACGAATGTAATTTGTGCCGGAAATAGACGACACAAGCTGGTGAACAGACCTTATACCCGTTATAGGTTTATATAATCTTTGCTTTTCTCTTGGGATTTCTTCTACATATTTGAAAATTCTACGACGAATGTTTGCCGAATTATTGGGGATTTTAAGTTTTTCGTTCGCAAAAGAATACAGACTTTTGGCATCCTGTATAACACAGGTGCCCCTGATTACGGCAAGATCCGCCTGATTCTTTAAAAATCCACCCGCTGCATCCTGTGGGCCTTTGCATGACTGGTTTCAAAGAAATTTCTGATTAGTTTCGGATAGCTAAATTCTGAAAGAGATGCTGATAAGTCGCCGAAACAATGGCGACTTTTATATTTTGAAGCGCATCCATCGCAGAATTCATGCATTGTTTGAACCTGGTAAGATATGGATTTTAAATATTCAGATACCAGTTTTTGACAATGATGAGTGAAGTGTTGGTCATGTTTATCATCAGGGGATATTACATAGAAATGTTCTATTATTATTTCTCTGTTGTACTTTCTACACCGTCCAATTCAAGAATAGCATGTCTGTGAAGTATGGTGACATGAATGGATACTTCAGTTTTTTGGAAATAATTTGACTGTATTTCGTTCTTTTCACTACAACGGTAATTTTCGGAAAAGTCATGAATTGTAACGCAGTGATTTTGAGGCAAATTCTGAAGTAAATTTCTTAATTGCCCAATTTGCCATTTAGCACCCATGTTGTGTAATGGAAATTTTGTAAGAAGCTTTCTCATGTACTCAAACAGTTCACCGGGTTTGGTGACCTTTTTTACAAGTGTCAGTTTCTTTGTTTCGCCCCTTTTCGACTTTATGTTTATGTAATCAAAACACTCCCAAGAAACATCAGGAGAAAGGTCATCAGTTCTTAGTTCCTCATGATTGAACTCAATTTTGTGAACCCCACATTCTATGCATGTTCTATCTAAACAGGATTTGTTGTGTAGACCATCGGAATTGGTAGGACAGAGAGTTTGATTACACATTTCATACATGTCATGGTATATTACAAGGTCTGTTACATAGGTCTTTCTGTAATTCATACATGCGTCTTTTGGACGCGCTGCGCGAATGTAGTAAGGTTTACATGCCTCAAAGAGTCTCTGAGAAATTCGAATTTCTCGGTGTTTCGACAGAAAGTCTGCATACACCTCTGTTTGTGTTTTATGTAAGATTTGAATAGCATGAGAAGAATATTGTTTTGGACCTATTCTGACCCTTTTCACGTCGTTTTTATTGCCAGTTGGGTGCGAAATTTCGGGCAAACACCAAAAATTATACACAAGCTTTCGGATATCATCAGACAGGGCATCAGATCTTGTTTTCCGCTTAGTATACGTAAACGATGATGATTCCGTATGCAAGATTTTTGCGCGAACTTTATACCCTTTAAATATTCTACGAATCGGAAGACCAAGTTTTTTTTGCTAGTGAAGATTTTGCTCTAGAATTTTTAACATTTTCGCCGCTTACAGAAGCTGTTAGAAAATCCATGGCTTCCCTAACTTTGTCGCACCGTTTAAGTTTTAGTTTGGAGACAGATTCCTTGATGTCAGATAGAACGGACGCTTGGAGTGTGACTGATTCTTTTTCCTCTGGAGAGGGAATAATTTGCAATTTTGGAGTAATTTTACTGAGGGAGAGTTTGTATTTTGTAAAAAAGCGGCAATGATAGCTGCTCTTTTTGTCGGGGATATCGGTAAATTTGATTTCAATTTTTTCACAGCTCGACATTTTTGCATTTTGTTGCTGAATGATTTGAGGTTGCCATTCTCTGTATTTTCGCTCTGAATTTGACTAATCATGCGTTTTTTTTCGGCGCCATCTCTGTTATGCTAGGGATTTCCGCCTCTGCTTTACTTCTTCGCGTTCTTTTAATTTAGATTTTCTTTCCATTTCTTTTCTCTTGCTATTCTCAATTTTTTCCCTTTTAATGCGTTCTTTTTCGCGCTGTTTGCGTTTTCTGAGCGTCGCAGCCTTTACTGTCTGCTCTGAAATTCAATTGTAAATTTTCAATTTATGATTTAGTTTACAATTAAAAAAGTCAATTGTCTTAAATACGATGATATTTTGTTTTTAGTTAAAAGTACATGTATACTCCGCGTAAAAATATTACTGCTGATTTACTTTCAGGGAATCCGTTTTACCTTTTGTGGTAGAACTCTTTTGTATTTCCCTTACTCTCCTCCTCCATTCACGAGTCTGCTCAACCTTTTTCTGTTTCCTTATTTCTTTGTTTATTTTTATTCGTATTGCAGCAGTCAAAGACCCTGTTTGATTATCAATTCAAATAAATGTTCACTGCCAAGCCACGTTAATGTTTAAAACATCATTTATGCCATTTTGCATCACCCGTGACATAAAAATATAATATTTATAATTATTAATATTTTATTTGTAAAAATCAACTATTTAGATTCGAATTGATTGCATTTTAGGCATTGAAAAGTTATGAAAAGTTATGAAGAATTTTATTTTACTATAAAATGCATTATGTATATGTAATTTTTTTTAAAAAATCCTTTTTTATAAAATGATGTATTTAGTATTTCTATAAGTTCACTATATATTCACTATAAGTTCTTTTTTTCTAACGAAAAACGTACACGACCGTATGACGTTAAATGCGTCATTGCGTCATTTTATATGCAAGTGTGACATTTATGTTGACTTTATTTTATTTGTAAAAATCAATTATTTTGATTCGTAATACTTGCACATTTGGTATCAAAATGTTCGTGGAGAAATGCACATTTCAAATATGAATTTTTTTTTTTTTGGAAACTTCTTTGCTAGTTTTATAGAGGAATGTCTAAATTCAGTATTATTTCAAATTCTTCTTTAATTTATGTGTTTTAATGAAAGCGTGACATTCGTGTTGACTTTTTAAAATGTCTCTGATATGAACATTAGCGAATATATATGCCTCTTTTTATAGAATATAAGACCTTTATAAATGCACATTCTGAAACTAATTTAATATTATGAAAAAAAGGCTAAGATTTTCGTATAATGAGCATACCATTTGTGATCACCATGCTACGCATGACGTTCGGATGTTAAAATTTCTCCTTTGTGACACGTGTCTTTTAAAAATGTTAATAGTTAAACAATCTCCTGCGTAATAATTTTTATGAATAAATGCTTTAAAATGAAAAATCAAACGGAAGATATTTATATTTTTAATATTATTTATCATTTCCATCAAGATGTTATCAGTAAAACACCAATAAGTTGCTATACACAACATGATATTTTATATTCGATTTGCCAAAAATATTGAAATTAAGAAATATACTTGTTTTGTGACGCCTTCTGTCTTCTATCGTTTTTGAACTTAAATTCAAAGAAAATATACTATTCTCAATAATTTACTTTGAAATTTTACACAGTATCCATTTTCTCTGTTTACAAATCAAAAACAAATCATTAGATAACTGTGAGTACATAAATTTTCATAAATTATATTATATACTGTGGTAATTTACCTGATTCTGAGGTGGCCATTTTCGATTTTTGTCCCTTATCTACATGTTCATACTGAGAATTCTTTGATCCGGCGTTGATTAATGGCATTAATTACGTCAACAATGTTATGACGTATACATTTTACATCATCACAATAATTAGTCCGCCAAATATTTTCCCCCAAAAATGAAATTTCGCTGAGATATTGTAATTTATTTGAAATATGTATTTTGCATCTGTTACCTATCTACATGGCATTTTGGGCAAATTTTGGGGGGTTTTTCATTGATTTCTTAAATTTAACTTTTTAAATTGCAATTTATTGTATATTTTATTGAAGTCCACGATCCTATCAACAGATTGATATATAATATAGCATATATCTTTATTATTTTTTATTGAAAAGTAGTCTAATTGTCAGCGCGCACTGCGAGAAAACATTTTAACACCAACATCGTGCGCGACGTCTATATATTTACATCCACTGGATATTTTTCCATTTTCATTTATTTCTTATGAAGCCCCATTGCCATTAATCAGTACATGAACAACACTAAGCTGCGACATTAATTCCCGTACTTACAAGAAAGCATTTTATTATTTAAATTAACGGGGTCATTTTCAGCAGAAAGTGAACCTGGCATCCAGGTTAGCTTTCCTAATCAAATGTCAAGACAACAATCATTTTTTAAGTAATACTGAATATTACAGAACAATGCGATAGGAATAGAATAAACCAGGAGTGAGATCTGGTGCCATAGAGGCATGCACTGAAGGTG